TGATAAGTTCTTAGTCGTGCAGTCAAAGACGCTTCCCGCATGCTTTCATGTGTCCCTTCAACTATTAACCATGAAAGGGGTACCCGACAAGAGGCCCGTCGAATGGCAGGGAGCGCAGAGAAGCAGACGGGCCAGCGGACGAGTCGCAGCGCGTGCTGTGTGATGTAGGACGTAGTAAAGTCTCATTTGACGCGAAATGACTGTTGTACCCGCTGCAACTCGTCCCCTGACCCGTCTGCGTCTCTGCCTTTTCGCCGCGCGGCGGCCTTCCCGTCGGATCCTATAGGAGAGGCTCAGGTTGAATGCGAATATAAGCAGCTAGTGGTCATTCTAGAAGGTAAATGGTGCTTTACCTCAAACGAGAACGTTCAATACCAGAAACAAAATGATTTAAAATGATAAAACTGAGTTTTTCAGGCTTTAAGCTGTCCAATAACGGTAACTTTGCCCGTGACATGTCAAGCATATAAAACACATTCAAAATTCGATTCAGAAACATAAAAATGTTCCGAAGGATATGTTGCTGATTGTGGTGACCATTACGGTGAAGCGAAAACATACATGTAACACGAAATGGACTTTTGTAGATCAAATTTTAAGGCTAACAGTGACAAAATACTAGCAGATCAGAAAAATCAATGCCCTTTAATAGAATTATATATTCTTCTTCCCTTCAGATGGCTGAATAATGGAGTTGCTATTCTTGACGGAGGACGATTTGTCACCTGATGGCTTCGGTGGGAAGAAACGTGGAAGCACGAAGACTATCGCGAATGCGACGATGTGCACTACGAAGTAAACTCGCCTGCAAAAAGTCGTAGGTATTGATCGGTTCTGTTTTCAAGCACATGAAACTTCAGCCTTGTTACCCTTACACATGAAACAGGCCTAAACTGAACGTTTCGACTTCATTTACTGCAGCCAGGAATGGAGAGAATTTTATTATTTTGTTCCCTCTTCTCGTTCCTGCATATGAAGCTGGAGCACAGACTTCGACTACGTAAGCATGAAAAGCAGGATTTTCAGAATTATCCCCAGAAATTACTGAACAGAACAAAGTAGGAAATGAAACCCGAAACAGAACTGGAATCACTACGGCTGGTGTCAGAGTCCGCGAAATCGCGCGGCAAAAAAACACAAGTGCCCCATTTGACTTCCGAACATGGGATTACGAACAAGCTCGAATTCATGAAGTGGTCAGTCACCATCACCAGCAAGAGAAATGTGGCAGGACATAGAGAAGAGCCACCGCGCAGTATTGCAGTCGGGCACATCGATTATCTTGCATCCGTTGGCGCGATCGCGGACGGACGCGATCTGACACCAGCTAATATCTGCCATTCGTGAAGTGACTGTCACCCGCTCACTAATGCATATAGAAACCGCAGCGCACAAATGCCCATCAAAACCATTCGCGGGACCGCGCGCGCGTCTCAAGTTCTGACCATTCGGACCAGCGCCGGCCGATTATTGCATAACAGGAGCATGTCAGAAAAATTTCTTCAACAATTTGATCGTGGACGAGGTACGTTGCCCGGCTCGAGTGCAGCATGAATGAGGGTATGAAGATTCTATTCAAGAAAGAAAACTTTCCAAATTCCATTTGAAACCCGGTAACCACCGGTGGATGCCATTGTCCCGAGTGAGTTCTTTGGCAGCCACCGGTGACTGCCATTGTCACGAATGGTTTAAAGCTTACCAAGAAAGCGCACAGGTTCCTTATGCAATGCTTCGTCTTGCTAGTTACCCTTGTTGGGCTTTAGGCTACACAAACCTCGTTTTAAATCAATAAAACATTATATAAATTAAAAGGAATCTTGCGCGGAAAATTCTTGCACTCTTTCCTAACATGAATATGTCAGTTGTGATCACTGGAAATAGCACACAAAGTTTCACGCATGAAGATTCGGTTTCTGAAGAGAAACAAACGTACAAAAACTACACGTTATGGACCATCGAAGGACCAGGAGGCAGAGCCAGGCGAGGCATGGAAAGAAGACGGCGTTTGGCCGGCTACGTACCAGGCGACGCAATGAGAGAGATCGGGTTAAAGCGCGCGATTTCGGAGAGTGGAGACAAATCGATCGATGGAATAGGATGGAGTAGAAGTGTAAGATGTGAATGCAACGAAGCAGAAGGCCAGAAAGAGCTTCTAGTGAATGCACTCCAAGAACCAAGTTTGAAGCATCCCCGTCGCCAGCATTCGTGAAAGACGTCCGTGGGCAATTCGAACGCGTAGCAGCCTTAATTCAAAACGAAAGCAATACTTTAGTTCTTTTCACTATTATCGTGGATAATGAGTCTCAAGCCACATTGCAATTTGGATGAAATGAATTCATGATTTTCCGCCGCAGGATTCTGCCATATAAAGGTAGAGAAGTGAAAGATGCTCACAGCGTGTTAACTGCTCACATGACAGAATGGTGAATTGAAGGCGAGCTTTGGGATAAAATAGGTGTGTATGAGCATTCTCTAATGAAGCTAAGGTGGAGAGTGGTTTGGAAAAGGAAAAGAAAGCAAGAGAAACTCCGATTACGCCCCGCACAGAGACCTCCCCTATTTCAGCCGCATTCCACCTTGGGATAGAGAAGGGGCGTGTTGGACGAGTTTCACGAACCTAGCTCCAGTTGCTCCAGTGCCAATGACATTGAATCGCAATGGGACCGCTGCCTCAAATGCGCCCGCGCTTTTCAAGCAGCGTCACGTGGCAACCGACAGCGGAAGGCGGGGCTTGCGGACGAAGGTGTGATTGCGGGTCGGACGAGCTTCCTTGCGCCTTTGTCGCGCACTTTCAAGCCGCAAAAGGGGCGCGACATCAACGCTTGTCCGCCTGTCTACTACGCCCGGGATGGAACAGGTGAGCGTGCCTAATCCCGGAGCGTGCCTTTAAGTCTTTCGCTTGCAAATCTAGTGATGGAATATTTTATTTGATTCGTGTGAATGTTCTATTTATAAGCTTGAAATTAGAAAGAGGCTACCTGGAAGTATACGTATTTCATGGATAGTTGAAACAAACTTACTTATAAACAAAAAAGGCAGGATTCAAGTTCATTGTCACAAAGGCGTACGTCGTGTAGCCCAGGGCGATCTTTGTTGCAGAGAACGTCAAGATATCATAGGCAAACTTCTGCCTCGGGCAATCCAAAAACCGATATCGCATACATCGTCGGAACTATAAAAAGATTACGAGTGGGATCTCTCGATAATGCTATTATTGAAATTTATTCAACGATGAAACACCCAAATCGTCGAAATTAGCATAGGCATGAAAAATACGTTCAGTTGGAAAAAAAGGACAAATTCCTCCCTCATAGGCGAATTATTTACACTACACAAAAATCCCATCACCAAAGAGTACTCGATCACATTAGTGCACGGTCTAAGGTGAGGGTTTCACGAATAGACCCATGTCCATGGAGTGGAGAGGAGGAGATTTTCCCGCACGTATTCAGGACACTTGAAATCGCGGCGCTATCGCAATATACGGGGGCATTGTGACAGTGGTACATTCAAAACTGCATAAAACATGTTCTTTTCGTTAGAAACAAAGCTAAGCCATAGCAAGGAACGAATTGCTCCAGATGCGCAAGCCATTTTTACCTTCCCTGGGAGTTCTTGCCCCTCCCAGGCTTAGCCTTAGAGGATGCCCCCTTATATTGCGATGGCGCCAAAATCGGGTTAAGAATGCAGTCAAATTGGTAACCCTCCGCCCCTTTAGCTGCTTGTTTCGATCGGGCTTCGTCCTTTACCGATTTTTAACGAATCATCACGGTTATGATAGGAATACTTACCGTTGCACCAGCGAGAGTCATCAATGCTCCAGTAAAGAATGTCATATAGTACCCAACGGAGATTCCGTGCCAAAGTGCTGACAGCGCATAAGTAGCGAAGGTTCTGATCCTGCAATTCAGCCCTGTTGATAAGAGCTATTGCTGCTACTTTGACGCTAGTCCACATCGGCTGTTGAGGAGGCTTAGCAAGCAAGAACTAGATGTATGTCGAGCGAAATGCGTTAAAAAAGCGAAAATATTGTGTTGGCCAACTTCTTTACATTCTCTTCAGAAATGACCATCGAATTCTTCTTGAAGAACAACGGTGCTTGGATCAACAACATTCTCTTAAAACAGTCAATCACTTCTTAAATCGATTGGACCACCGAGATGAATCATTAGCTCAGATTTCAGCCAGGTGAGATGGATAATAATTAATGATGAAAATTTTCCTCAAACAGCAAGAGTCGCCATCGAAATACGTGTTAGTTTGTTCAAAATCTGGACAAGAAGTGTGAAGAGAAACGTTATTGAGAAAAAGGGCAAAAAGCTTTATTGAAAACCTGAAACTCTTCTGGGATCGGCGTTGTACACGGAGAGACAGGAGACGAGAGGAAAACGCGAGAGAGCACGCCTACTTTGAGAGGGCGCAAACGCCACGCATGCAGCGATCGATAAGGATGGCAGCGGTCGCAGCGGATGAGCGAAAGCATTAGCTACCTTGTCTTGCACTTTCAAGTCGCAACAGTAACACCAGCATTGTATAGTAGGCGTTGCTCTTGAGGTCTGAGTTAGTGTAAATACAGGGTCCTGCATCCTCACTCAAAAGGAACTTCTTAAAGCATAGTCGAGACCAGTGCCTTTAAGCTGTTTGGAGCACCAAATTGATGCGCGAGCAGCACCGAACTAATGTGTATTTTGTATGCCAAGGAGAATCTTATTCACTGCATTCAACGAAATGATAAAGAAATTTATGAATATTGCTTGGCTGCGTAACACGAGAGATTAGTAGCGAATGCTGGACATAACAATATTTGAACGTACTTCTTCGGTGTTCGATCATAGGCTACTCGACGAAGCCAACCGCCTGTCTGGATATTCCATCCATCCAATGTCTCCTTGAAACTTTGGCATATCAAACATGGAGAAAAATATTTAAAATGAGCACTCAACGTGATGATTTGATGGTTAAATGCCCACAGATGTGGCCCAAAATAGTGGTGCACTCAGCAATATTTTTCAATTTTGAGAGGTTTTTACTACAGGGCGCGTCTCCGTCCGACACTCTCGTGAACATGTTGCTACTTAATACTGTACTGCCGAAGTGTTTAGCCTTCCCTATGCAGCGTAGACGAACACCAAACTTCCACAGATACTTTGCAAAGGCGTTCTCTCTCTTTCTCAAAGATTTCCAAACATTGTTTAACAAGAGCAGGTCAACCTAATATTTATTGAACACCATTAGGGGCTTTCTTTTTTGAGAAGGTCTGCAGTTTCAGCAAAGGCTTCATCTCCAGCACACTGAGTGGCTGTGGTCCAGGAACTGCGCCGAGGAGATCCCTGACTTCATCATTCAGGTGAATGTCAGACTCGGCGATTGCGCAATCGCGACAGCGACAGTGCGTCCAACGCAGACCGTACGGATCAATAATGACACGCCCACTCTTGTGCAGTAAACGGCCACAACGCTGTCGCGATTGGACAGTCGCCGAGGACATCCACCTCAGCGCGCGCTCGCATCTGCACCGCCACGAGCTTTTCTCTGCTCCCGGAAACCATATTCCGTGTGATAACTCATCAACTCTTCATCATGAAAGAGAGAAAATAATCCCGAGAAAGCTGGGGTTCCGGAATCTACGCTGCTGTGATAATACCCATCCGCACAGAGGTTGAAAGACGGAATATTGAAGGAAAAAATGGAAAGCAATTCTAAGCTATACAAAAACTCAATTCATTCGCTATAAGCTACGGCCAGAATTATGAAGCAATATATAATAGAAATCACAAGTCAAGTAAGATTCTCCTTGCGCTATAAACAGACAGGCAAATGAATTAGATGTTGCGCTCACCTCAACTTGATACGGCCTGACATTTGTGCAGAGCTCCCACTTGGCATTACCATGGTCATCATAACCACTGAATCCGAAACCAGAAAGATTACAGACGGCGTCGGCTGAAAGATAGACATCAATTTTCCGATGAGTAACATTCTACCATCGAGGGCTACATCGGTTGTCTCTCATCATGCTGTTGACTATACCAAAGCGACAAAAGAATGGAAATCCAAAGCCGAAAGGTAACATACCAAATATCCATGCGAAATAGTAGTTGACTCGGATCAAGAAAATGACGAGGAACCACCACATAAACCATTCTGTATATGGCAGAGCGAGATACCTTCAAGAGGATTCAATAGCGAAGTGAATTTTAACTAGTTATGAGACTAAAACTGTAAAAACGGCTGATCGAAAACGCATAAGCCTTTCCAAATGTGGTCTAGGCATGTAGCTAACAACTCATTTAATAACCAGACAATACAATAATAGAGCGATTTTGAGCGAAATCATGTTTTCTGTGGTAGTGCATCGCGCGTTTGTGATTGGTGGACACACGCAACGGCCAATCATAGGCATTCTGCACAGATGCTGCGTGGGTAAAACGTTCAGATAAAAAGCTCAAAAAACGGTGGGGAATAACTCCTGTTAAAGACAGTTGAAAACTGCTCGACCTCGGATAGCTGCTAACATCCTGACATTAAGCAATA